GCCCTGACTTAAACCCAATTGAGCATCTCTGGAGAGACCTAAAAATGGCTGTCCACCAACGTTTACCATCCAACCTGACAGAACTGGAGAGGATCTGCAAGGAGGAAGGGCAGAGGATCCCCAAATCCAGGTGTGAAAAACTTGTTGCATCTTTCCCAAAAAGACTCATGGCTGTATTAGATCAAAAGGGTGCTTCTACTAAATACTGAGCAAAGGGTCTGAATACTTAGGACCATGTGATATTTCAGTTTTTCTTTTTTAATAAATCTGCAAAAATGTCAACAATTCTGTGTTTTTCTGTCAATATGGGGTGCTGTGTGTACATTAATGAGGAAAAACAATTAACTTAAATGATTTTAGCAAATGGCTTCAATATAACAAAGAGTGAAAAATTTAAGGGGGTCTGAATACTTTCCGTACCCACTGTATATCTATATATGTTTTCCTTTTGTAGGTGAACATTTTGTAACTTTTTTTTCATGCTAAAATCACAATAGCTTATACATCATCATCCATAGTTGTTTAGCCAAGTAGATTCTACACATTGTAGAGTTTTTTTTTCTTCTAAACTACAGGTGTTGAACTTGTGTTATATGTACACCTACTTTTTAAAGAATTTTGTACACCCACTTTTTAATACATTTACGATTAAACTTAAATCAATGAAAATCATCCACTGACTTGCATCATTGATGTCATAATTATTGTGAATTGTCATATACTTGCTTTTATGTAATTTAGAGCTGCATTTGTAATGTTGAATGCATTTATACTGTTCATTGTCTTTCACTTTACACTGCATTGAAATAATGTGCTTCTCTTTTCACTGGATTCCCTTCTCATTGATAAACTGATAGCTTTGTGAATTGGTTTACACAGTTCATTTTAATTGGCATTAAATTTCTTACCTGGCAAATAGTTTAATTTGATTATTCTGGATACTGATACAGTGGGGCAAATAAGTATTTGATACACTGCTGATTTTTCAAGTTTTCCCACTTACAAAGAATGGAGAGATCTGTAATTTTCATCATGGGTACACCTCAACTGTGAGAGACAGAATCAAAAAAAAAAATCCAGAAAATCACATTGTATGATTTTTAAATAATTAATTTCCATTTTATTGCATGAAATAAGTATTTGATCACCTACCAACCAGCAAGAATTCTAGCTCTCACAGACCTGTTAGTTTGTCTTTAAGAAGCCCTCCTATCCTCCACTCATTACCTGTATTAATTGCACCTGTTTGAACTTGTTACCTGTATAAAAGACACCGGTCCACACACTCAATCAATCAGACTCCAACCTCTCCACTATGGGCAAGACCAAAGAGCTGTCTAAGGACACCAGGGACAAAATTGTAGACCTGCACAAGGCTGGGATGGGCTACAGGAAAATAGGCAAACAGCTTGGTGAGAAGGCAACAATTGTTGGCGCAATTATTAGAAAATGGAAGAAATTCAAGATGACTGTCAATCTCCCTCGGACTGGGGCTCCATGCAAGATCTCGCCTCGTGGAGTATCAATGATCCTGAGAAAGGTGAGGGATCAGCCTAGAACTACACGGGAGGACCTGGTCAATGACCTGAAGAGAGCTGGGACCACAGTCTCAACGGTTACCATTAGTAACACACTACACCGTCATGGATTAAAATCCTGCAGCGTGGGCAAGGTCCCCCTGCTCAAGCCAGCACATGTCCAGGCCCGTCTGAAGTTTGCCAAAGACCATCTGGATGATCCAGAGGAGGCATGGGAGAAGGTCATGTGGTCAGAGGAGACCAAAATAGAAGTTTTTGGTATAAACTCCACTCGACGTGTTTGGAGGAAGAAGAAGAATGAGTATAATCCCAAGAACACCATCCCAACCGTGAAGCATGGGGGTGGAAACATCATGCTTTGGGGGTGCTTTTCTGCATAGGGGACAGGACGACTGCACCGTATTGAGGGGAGGATGGATGGGGCCATGTATTGCGAGATTTTGGGCAACAACCTCGTTCCCTCAGTAAGAGCATTGAAGATGGGTCGTGGCTGGGTCTTTCAGCATGACAATGACCCCAAACACACAGCCAGGGCAACTAAGGAGCGGCTCCGTAAGAAGCATTTCAAGGTCCTGGAGTGGCCTAGCCAGTCTCCAGACCTGAACCCAATAGAAAATCTATGGAGGGAGCTGAAACTCCATGTTGCCCAGCGACAGCCCCAAAACCTGAAAGATCTGGAGAACACCTGTATGGAGGAGTGGGCCAAAATCCCTGCTGCAGTGTGTGCAAACCTGGTCAAGAACTACAGGAAGCGTCTGACCTCTGTAATTGTAAACAAAGGTTTCTGTACCAAATATTAAGTTCTATTTTTCTATTGTATCAAATACTTATTTCATGCAATAAAATGGAAATTCATTATTAAAAAATCATACAATGTTATTTTCTGGATTTTTTTTTTGATTCGGTCTCTCACAGTTGAGGTGTACCTACGATGAAAATGACAGATCTCTCCATTCTTTGTAAGTGGGAAAACTTGAAAAATCGGCAGTGTATCAAATACTTATTTGCCCCACTGTATGTCAAAAGATTGCAAGGTGTCTGATGTTACTGTACTTCAGGGCCCGTATTTCACAAAACATCTTAAGGCTAAAAGTAGCTCATAACTCGCCAATTTAGGAGAAAATCGTAAAAATAATGGGTGAGTCAGTCCTAAATTTTTTAACTAAAAGTATTTCACAAAGCATTTTAGTGCTAAAACTAGCTCCTAAATCTGTGAAACGTTAGGAGTAGTGAAGAGGACTTCGACCAAACCACAAACTATTCCTAAAATGGCTGTTGCCGGCAATCTGCCTCGGAACGTAAACATTTTAGAAATATTTGATGATAATGAGCTTTCATAAAGGTATCACCTTCGGTTTTGAAGGTTATCCCAACTCCAAATTTTCCTTTGGTTATGTCCTTGTTGTCATTAACCAGTTGGGCAAGAAGTAACAGCTGTGCTTGTGTCCAGTTTGTTTTTTTTTTACGTTTGCATGTCTTACTATCAGCCATGATTATTCTACTCCGTTTATTAAAAGGCTGTTTATATGCATATTCACTAATTATGAGAAGCATACAGGGAAGAGGCTGACAATTAGCTGAACACATACTTGTTTAATTGGTGACAATGTGCTTTTAACATACTATCTCTGTATTTAAAAATGTATTTAGTTACCACGTGTATATAAGATGAGTTCAAGTGTACTACAAGTGGTAACTAAATACATTTTTTAATACAGAGATAGTTTAGTTCATATTCTAATTTTTTTTTTAGTTCATAGTTCACATTTTAGTTCATATTCATGGTGTCTCAAAATAGCACAGTTGAGTACACTTACATGTTCTTAAGATTATCTAGAATATTGTTTAGTATATTAACAGCTAATTGTTTACGAGAAGCATACATGTAAGAGGCTGACAATTAACTGAAGATATACTTGTTTAATTGGTGACACTTAGCCTGCATTTTAAAATCTTTATTTGAATGTGGCAACATTTGATCATAATTATTTTTAAACCTTTATCTTTACTCTAAAATATTTTTTATATCTGAAATATATCTGACAGAGACTATCAGCCAATCACTGTGTGCATAGTTAGTAAGCATTTGCAGATTTGTGAATAGGTTTTAAGAGAAAACTCTTTGCTAAAAACTTTTACTGCTATTTAGGCCAACTCTTAGTGGTAAGATAAAATGTTTTGTGAATACGAGCCCTGATCTATGCCCAAGGTATGAGCATGAGCCCATGATTTGAATGGAGCAAAAAAACACTTCAGAGAGGACTTTTCCATTACTTCGGAACCGGATACTAGCATAGCTCACACACTTACTATAAAATATCTTTCTATGGCAGAAATGATAAGGGATATATTTGTGTGGATTTGAATTCTGCACCTGTCTT